ACGAGCATAGTAGTCAGTGCGGCCCTCACGACGACGGCGGTACTTGGTCTGGTAGCGCGAGAAGTACGAGTCCGACTTCACAGTCTTGTGAAAAGCCTATCTTGTGTCAGTGAATGCTGGGGCGCATACACAACATACCATCTTTGACCAACGTCGGTGGTTGCTTTCAAACGATGAGCGCTTCGTCTGCCGACTTTCGCCTGCAGCCTGGCAGCGCCTGCCGCTTCTTCCACTTCATTCGGCCGAGGCTCAAAACTGCATTACAGACAGAAATAGATCACGTGGTATATTGCATTGTAGTAAATTTCGACCTACTAGGCCCAAAACATAGCTTCCAGCGTCGCGTTCAGGACGGCGTGGGTGAAACGACAGGGCAGGCCTGAGCCGACAGCGTCTTTCCCTACCCTCCAGTCCTCTGATTCTGTAAGGTATGTCGATGCCACCGAGCAAAGCATGATCATACTAACCGTTGAAGATGGGTGCCTACAAGTACCTTGAGGAGCTGTACAAGAAGAAGCAGAGCGATGTGCTCCGTTTCCTGCTGCGTGTTCGCTGCTGGGAGTACCGCCAACTGAACGTGGTGCATCGCGCATCGGGTCCAGCTCGTCCCGACAAGGCTCACCGCCTCGGTTACAAGGCCAAGCAGGGCTACGTCATCTACCGCGTGCGTGTGCGCCGCGGTGATCGCAAGAAGCACGCCCACAAGGGTGCCACGTACGGTAAGCCTGTGCGACAGGGTGTGAACAAGCTCAAGCCCCAGCGCTCGCTGCGTGCGTTGGCTGAGGAACGCGTTGGTCGCAAGGTGTCGAACTTGCGTGTGCTTAATTCGTACTGGCTCAACCAGGACGGCGTGTACAAGTACTTTGAGGTCATTTGTGTGGACCCGCAGCACAAGGCTATCCGCCGCGACCCGCGCATCAACTGGATTGTCAACCCGGTGCACAAGCACCGCGAGTGCCGCGGTCTCACCGGCGCTGGCAAGAAGAGCCGTGGTATCGGCAAGGGCCACGGTTTCCACAACACGATCGGTGGTGGCCGGAACGCTGCCTACCGCAGGAGAGAGATCCTCCATCTGCGTCGCTACCGTTAAGCGAGTGCTTGACGGCACATGGGATCGGCTTCATATGCTTGCGATATATATGGATGCCATGGCTCATTGGTCGTTCCTTGTGTCACGGTGCTCGTCGACTGATGGTCGTCATGTAGTAGCGCTATAGCGCCCCAAAATACTAGGCATGCATTCGCCCAAGTAGGTCTTGACTCTGAACTATGCAGTCTATAGCGGTGAGCTACTGCTCGGCCGTTTCTGAGGACGCAGCTTGCACGGCCGATGGCGGGTCATGAGGGGTGCCGGCTAGCGCTCGTTCATGCGATGTGTGTGGCGTGTGTGACGCGTCGGAAGGTGCCGTCTCATCGTAAGAGCACTCTGCTGTGCCCTTGATCGAGCCAATACGCACGCGTTCATCATTCATGGGAGCAACGCCTGGTGAGCGAACGTCCACGTTCGTCGACTGCCGCAGCTCGGCGATAGTGACAGGCGGAATAGGCGTGCCGGGAGCCGCATTGGCATACTCGAGCGTTCGACGACGTACGAGCTTGGCAAAATGCAAGCCACAAGCATTGCACAGCGTTCGCGCACCTTCAGGACCACGTCGCCATTCGGGTGTGTCGCTATGGCCGCACGAATGGCATACGCCAGGCGCCGGCGCTCGGCTCCGCTTCCGATACTTCGGGGCATGGGCGGGGGGTTGGCTAGGCTCGTGTGTGGCCGCTTTTCCGTACGCATTGGTAGAAGCAGCATACGACGAGTGCGCTGCATGCAACCGAGCGGCAAAGATAAGATCGTCAGCACTACTCGTTACGCGCGCATCAGGTCGTGCGGCATACTTGGATCCAGCTTTGTTTCGCTGACCCATGTTACGCCGCCGTGCAGTTCCAAGTGGATCATCGTCCATCCGCATCAGTTTGGAGTCACGCTCATCGCTTACCACTGGTGAGTAATACGGAGACGTGCTGCTATTGAGCATCCAGGGGTAGTAAGGCGCCATATCTACCACATCGCGACCTGCGCGATAGTCATAGACAGACATGAGTGCGCGTACTTCTTGGTTGATATCAGAGACGAGCGGAAGAAGTGCATGCACATCTTCCTGTCGCGTCATAGAATGCTGGACGCTCAGTTGTTCGCCGACATGATTGTACAGTGCTAATGCTGCAGCATGCAAGCGTTCCAGAGCATAGACAGCATTCGCCTCAGACGACGTGGAAGACGATGGTGTGGGCACAGACCATGGCAGCACGCTAGAATAGTTTCGACTAGCAGTGCACGAAGCATAAGAAGGAGGTGCTTCCGTGTTCCTTCCCGGCCGGGAGACAGGCACAGGTGCTTGGTCAGGTATATCTGGCACATGTGATGGGACAGGCGCCGGTGTGGGTGCGGGGGGCGGTGGAGATGGCGATGCTAGGGAGCCAGACATACTAGGTGTTCTGGAAGGCATGATCGCAGTGGATCGGTACATAGTTACTGCTGGTACATCGGCAGCTGGGCTCTTGTCTAGTGCACCTGCTGGTCCGGGTCTGTCTTCCGACACAATGCCAATCGAGGGATTTGTGCCTCGGTACGACGATGCAATATCATTCGAGGAGAAATTCGACATAATTTCAATCGTTCGAAGCAGAGGTGGTTTGTACAATTTTGAATCAAGTTGATACTGGTCTTTGCTATGCGACAAGGACGTCGATATGGCCATTTATCTGTGAGTAACTGAGCACGGCCTTTCGGTGCACTCTGAGGCTAAATTGCAATACAAACAAGACGTCGATTCGTATTTTGAGTACTGCAATTAGTTTTGGCTGCAAGCCCAGAGAAGCCCACTTGATGATACCTGCTGCTCTTACACGTCGTCGCACTAGGATGCTACAATATCGGGCGTGAAAGATTTAGTAGTACCAATGGATGCTGTTGGAGCGCAGGCAAAAACGCACCCGATTTAAAAATCCTTTCTAAGCAGGGACACTGGCACCGCTCGTACGGCCCGATAGTATGTGGAGGTGATCTTTCGACTCGGGGTGGCAGCAAGCCAAAACTCGTCCCAAGGCGGCCCGATGCAAAAACGCACTTTGCCGAACGGTCACTGCGCCAAACACCAAGGCAGCTCACGCTATTGACATATGCACACATGTTTAAAATAAAAAAAATTTAGCGCTACAAACTGCGCGGTGAAAATGACCATTCAGATATATGGGCCATGCATGGACTCAAATGCATTTAGCAGGCTTCACGCAAGTACGTGACAAGGTCGTTGCGGTCCTTGTCCTTCTTGAGACCGTTGAAAGCTAAGACAGGTTAGAGACATTCATCTTTGCACTATCGTACGTACCCATCTTTGTTCTGTACATGTTGAAAAGCGTGTGTTAGTATCCTCCATTCCTCAAAAATGGTCTCAAGCTACGCATACCGCATAGCTGGACTCAACGACGAATACATACCCAGGGATGTACTGTGAGTGTGAGCGTTTGCACGTTAAGGCAGTTACGTACCTTCTTGGGGTTCTCCAGGTACTCGAAGAGAGTCTCCTCGTTCCAGGTGATACCCTTGTTCACGTTGGCAGCCGTATAACTGAAACCGGGGGCTTGACCAGTCTTGCGGCCGAAGATACCGTGCAGGTTAGGACCGACTTTAGGACACGTTAGCTTCATTCTTCAAGTATCGACGGAGTACTCACCCTTGTTAGGACCACCCTCTTCGACCGTATGGCACTGAGCACAGCGGGTCTTGAACAGGCCGGCACCCTTCTTAGCGTCACCCTCAGCAAAAGGCATGATTTACGTTGTAAAGAGGCAAATTAGGCCCAGGCGGCCAGGCACTATACTCCTTTCAGTAATTCCACATTTCATCCGGATTGTTCCGTACTTTCTCCAATCAACAGGTAGGAAATTGTCAGAGTGGCACTAGTCGCTTACGAAACATATGTTGTGTGACAAATGTTCGGAACATGGACTGCACAAAAGACGGTGTCCCACGTGAACATTACTTATTCGGCGAGGCCAACCCTAGATAAATTCCTGTCCTGAATCCATCAGTGCTAGGTATGTGTCTCGAGCAAGGAGGCAGCGCGAGTTTTGCGTCCATTGGATCATCCTCCAGATGATTAGCTCCGAATAAATGCATAGTTCAAATCTAGGCACGTCCAATGCGAACAACCATACCATCACAAAAGTCTTTCGCTCCTATATGATGGATAAAATGGACGCATAAACTCATGTTGCCGTACCTTTAATGGATGGGAAACTAACCCTTTCAAGTCTTGTGCTGCTGTGTACCACAACCACACTTTATCATTCTGCTCCTATAGGGTCACAACCAAAAAACGTAGCTCCTTGGTATGTATTGATTACGAAACAAGCACTGCCATGTGGTAGTACGTGTTGCCTCGAGCGATGATACCGACTGACATGTCGAGCGAGCGCGTGGATCATGGCGCACCGAAGCTTGGTCAGATGAATTCCATGTCTCCCGAATGTACACCTTTGAAGCACAAGTATGATAATTGTTTTCATACCTGGTTTAAAGACTATTTAGACATGAGCTCATACGCAAAAGCTGATCCATCGTCCCCACCCAATCAAAATCCTTGGCCCAGTCGTGTCAGCCAAGCGCCACCATCTGACCTTGCTACTTTACGCGAACGTTACGAGACGGATTGCGGGAAGCTTTTTGAAGAATATCAAGCGTGTATTAAGGTATGTTTGGTTTGTTAACATTCAGCGATCCATCAAAGACAAGGGGCTCCACGAAGCAATTGAGAGGGCCAGAAAAGAAAATCCATTCCCTAGACATCAAAATTGTTGAATAGAGCATCATACTTCATTGTATTAGCCTGCATTCAAGGGAGGATATTAAAGTATGACAGGATGCATCAGGATGCATGAAGCGGCACCAGACACCAAATAGGCCGCGCTCGAATGCAACAGGCATAAAAAAGATGACCCGATATTCAAGTTCCGGGCAAGACTTGAACTCGCGACCTACAGATAACTGCTTTTTGCAATCTGTCGCTCTACCGCTGAGCTACCGGAACTAGAACTGGGCAATTGGGAACAGAGTCAAGCACATGGACGTTAAGCATATTAATGATCGCGCACGTCCGCAGTGATTGTGAGCAAGGACAAAGTTGCTTCCATAATCTACTAGTCTGCCCGACGAATTTGATTTCTGCACATACTCATATCCAGACGCATGTTCCATGCCAAATGAACCAAGGCAAGCGTTTGGGGCTGAGCGTGTGCCTCTTCGTGACAGCTTAAACAAGGGTCCTGAAGAGGATGACGACATGGTTGGGCTCCGAGTGGATTTACATCGTTTGCGAATTCAGGACGCAATACCCGCCAGTGTAGATGTCATTCTATCCGTTCGTGGCTCAGTTGGAGGGGATCAGCCGTCATTTTACGTGGCTCAGCTCAAGACTGGGTTGGATTACAATTTCGGACATAAGAGCAAGTTGGTGGAATTGCCACCGTCATGCTGCGCAACTAGAGAAGCGAACAGTGTCCATTCAGGTATGCTCCTTCGATCAAAGCGTATGATACTTGGCTTTGGCCGTCGTCGCACGCGGGGTGTGTCCAGTGAAGCTCTGACAACATCTCAAGGATTGATACGGCCACAGCGCATGCGGTCACATTCGAGTCCGGCGCCGCCGAGTATGGAAGGCCCTCATCAGATGAGCATAGAATTTCGCGTGCTACTGGATGATGGGAAAAAACAGATATATGTGGGAGAATGCTTGTATTCAGTAACCGAAGTATCGGACCAAGCGTTATGGCTGCCTATAACCACCAAACAGGGGCATCTGCATAGTGGTCTGCAGATCACCTTGTCACTCCTTAACGAAGACCAATGGCACCAGTACAAAATCGAACGGTCTTTGATCACTGCGCCGGCTGATGGGCCTGTGGGGATGGTCGAAGAGGATGAGAATTTCGTGAATGGAGTGATTTTCGACCCGGTTGATGAGGACGAGGACGAGGATGAAGGCAGTGCTATAGACGAGCCGCCAATTGTGCAGCTACAGCATTCACGGCGCTTCGGTATGAGGCGCCATACGAGACGTTCGCAAACCCAGGCAACACTGGAGACCACAGCGCTCAGCGACACTGATACGCTTCCTCATGGAGTACTGAGTTCTCAGCTTTTGAAGCGTAAGCATCGAAGGAGGCTAGGCCTTGCACGAAGGCAGCAGCGCCATTACTCTGCCATTAATGCTGCTAGTCAGCTTGGTCTTGACACCCATGGTGTGCAAGGCATCATCATGATGGAAGTCGTTAGCGCGCGAGATTTGCCCCGTTGGCGTAACATGACGTACACATCTTTTGATATGGATCCGTTTGTTGTGGTATCCTTTCACCGCAAAGTGTTTCGCACGCGCGTGTGTCGGCACACACTCAATCCTGAATGGCGCGAAAAGCTGTATGTGCACGTCCACAGTCGTGAGACGAGTTATAATGTGCGGTGCGCTGTGTATGACTGGGACAATATGTCATCCAACGATTATGTGGGTGAAGTGAGCTTGGAGATACGTATGTTGATGGAGGCTGCCGAGAAAGGTAGTGACAAGGTCGTGCTGGACTTGCCGCTCGAGCGAGAGGGGCATGACGAGGATGCCAAGTTTGGCGTTGGCAAGCCGCGGCCGACACTGCAACTCGAAGCCGCATACCAATCCTACTCAGCGCTGCGGCGTCAATTCTGGCGCGAAATGTTACGGTTGTACGACACGAATGAGTCAGGCAGTATTGATATGGATGAGCTACATGCAATGCTTATGAGTCTAGGGAGTTCCTTGTCGCCAGCCACCCTGGCGGGCTTTTTTGAACGAATTGGCAAGGACCCGTATGGCGATGGCCTTACGCTAGACGAGGGTGTGCAAGCCCTCGAGAAAGAGCTAGAAAAATCGTGGGCACATCGAAGTGATCCTGAGGCCGCGGACGACACGGACGATGCAACGGACGTGGAGCGGGTGATTCAACTGCGAGAGTGTCCTTGGTGTCACATGCCATATCTCTCGCATGCTAACGAGAGCGATGTTGTGACGCATTTAGCGCTATGCTCATCGCAAGAGGGGCGTGCTGTGGATGACCTCATGGTATCCAATTTTGTCACAGCGACACAAGCGCGGCGCAAATGGTATACAAATATGTTCAAAACCATGAGTCAAGGCGTGTATCAGATTGGAGCCAATAGCGCCAATATACTCGTGCAGGACCGCTTGACAGGCCAGCTTGTGGAAGAGAAAATGCAGGTGTACGTACGCCTAGGGATTCGGCTCTTATACCAAGGCGCCAAAAGTCGGATGGAAGGCGCTCGTGCCCGCCGAATCCTGCGCAATATGACCATTAAGCAGGGTGCCAAGTACGATCAGCCGAGCAGTGTGCGGGCCATTAAGCCATTTGTTATGTTTCACAATATTGATGAACACGAGATGGTCGATTCCTTGGATTCATTCACAACATTCAACGAGTTTTTTTGCCGGCGCATCGACATGTCGCTGCGGCCCCTGGCAGAACCTGATAATTCTGCTTGTTTGGTGAGCTGTGCCGACTGTCGCCTGATGGCCTTTGAGAATGTGGATCAAGCCACAAAGCTGTGGATCAAGGGCCGTCACTTTTCCATTGCGAAACTGCTTGGATCAAACATATCTCACGAGCAATTCGCCTTATTGATCTTTCGGCTCGCACCACAGGACTATCATCGGTTTCATGCACCTGTCGACGGTGTGGTCGGTCCACCCAAATGGCTCGAGGGCGAATACTATACAGTCAACCCCATGGCGATTCGAAGCGCCATTGATGTGTATGGTGAAAACACACGCGTTGTGATTCCCATCACAACGCATGACTTTGGTACCGTGTACCTGGTCGCGATCGGTGCCATGATGGTCGGTTCGATTGTCATGACGGCCCAACAGGGCCAACGTGTGCAACGTAACGACGAACTAGGCTATTTCAAGTTCGGTGGGAGCACTCTCGTGCTCCTCGTTGACGCAGCGCGTGTGCAATGGGACGACGACCTGTTGGTCAACTCCGACGCCTGCATCGAAACGCTCGTTCGCGTCGGAATGCGCATGGGCCACGCACGAACGCTGCATGACAGTGTGGGGGAAGACTCGGCCGAGATGACAATAGGACTGGGTGGTTAGGTTAAAGGCACTGTAGGAGTTGCTTGTGACTCAATGAAGCATGCGACGCCAGTGGTGGGCCAACGTCGCTCGGAGTGCTAGTATGGCGCGATGCCCTGCTCGAGGAATGTCGACGTCTTGTGCGTGTGCTGCAGCCAAGGAACGGCCCCAGCCTGGCGACTTGAATCACTACTCTCGCATCATCACCCAGCCCAAGGACCAGGGCGCGTCCCAGGCTATGCTGTATGCAACACATGGAATTGATTCCGACTCCGACCTAAAGCGTGCTATGGTGGGTGTTGCAAGTGTGTGGTACGAAGGCAATCCGTGTAATGCGCATCTCCTTGGGGTGGGCCAGCGCATTCGTCAGTCACTAGAAAATGCTGGTGTGACGGGCTACCAGTTTGGCACGGTCGGTGTGTCGGACGGTATAAGTATGGGTACAAGTGCCATGTCTTATTCTCTCCCAAGTCGAGATCTCATCGCTGACAGCGTTGAAAGCTGCATGGGTGGCCACTGGCTCGATGGCTGTGTCGTAGTACCTGGCTGTGACAAGAACATGCCGGGTGTGCTGATGGCCCTCGGTCGCCTGAACCGACCGGGTATTATGGTGTATGGTGGTACGATTCGCCCAGGTCATTGCGAGTCCATGTCTGGCACGCTTGATATTGTGAGCGCTTTCCAGAGCTACGGCCAATATCTGGCTTCTGGCAGCTCGCCTAGTGCTGAAAAAGTGCGCTACGATACTGTGCGCCACGCTTGTCCTGGTCCAGGTGCATGTGGTGGTATGTACACGGCCAACACCATGGCGTCTTGTGCCGAGGTGCTTGGTATGACGCTGCCGGGAAGTAGTTCCTTCCCTGCGGAGTACGACGAGAAGAAGGCCGAATGCGATTCTATTGGTCAGGCCATGCGTACACTGTTGGAGAAGAACATTCGTCCACGCGACATTATGACGCGCAGTGCATTTGAAGACGCGATCACGCTCACCATGGTGCTGGGTGGCTCGACGAACGCTGTGCTGCACCTACTCGCCATGGCCAAGAGTGTCGGCGTCGACCTGACGATTGACGATTTTCAGCGCATCAGTGATACAACACCATTTCTGGCGAACCTCAAGCCTAGTGGTACCTACGTCATGGAAGACGTCCATCGTATACTCGGAGGTATCCCATCGGTTGTGCACTACCTGATTGAAAACAAGCTTATCAAAGGTGAACATCTGACCGTGACTGGTCTTACACTCCGTGAAAATTGCGAGCGATGGGTCGCTGAGCGTGGTCCTATGCCCAAGAATCAGGACGTATTGCGCCCGATCGACCAGCCCATCAAAAGTACAGGTCATATTCGTGTGCTGTACGGCAACCTCGCGCCAGGCGGTGCGGTGGCCAAGATCACGGGTAAGGAGGGCCTGCACTTTACCGGCAAGGCTCGAGTGTTTGACACGGAGGATGACATGGTGCATGCTGTGGAGCAAGGCTCCATCAAGAAGGGCGAGAAGACGGTAATCATTCTCCGTTACAAGGGCCCCAAGGGCGGTCCGGGTATGCCGGAAATGCTCAAGCCCACGAGCCTCATCATGGGCGCCGGCCTCGGTCATGATGTGGCATGCTTGACAGATGGGCGCTTCAGTGGTGGATCGCACGGTTTTGTGATTGGACACGTCGTCCCAGAGGCACAAGAGGGTGGTCCTATTGGTCTCGTCCAGGACGGCGATGTCATCACCATTGATGCTGAAAGGAATACGATCAATATGACCAACGTAACAGACGAAGAACTAGAACAGCGCCGTGCTGCATGGAAGCCTCGTCCGTTGAAGGTGACGCAGGGCGGTTTGTATAAATACACACGCCTCGTGTCGGACGCAAGCCAGGGCTGTGTCACAGACGCATAGTATATGTACGAAATAG